TATCTGCAGAAATATACCTTTTTGATTATAAACATAGCAGGAAGAGTTCCTTTTAGTTATTTTACAAGGGATGTTCGGAAATAGTCCTTAGGTCCGTAATTTTGTAGTGTCGCTTCTTCTGAATCTGGTTTACTATTCCAATGCTTTATCACATTGGTTGCTCAACGCTATCGTAGGTGTGCTAACACACAGTTTCGTCTCTCTGTCCTAATTAAATCTTTCCGGCATAACATTTGGAAAACATGACACCTTATTCGACCGCAGGCTCATTCACTGCGAGCACTCGACCCGGACACAGACGGTACATGATTTGCTTGTGCTTGTGCTTGTAGGACCATCCGCCACATGCTCACTAAGTCCGATGATGCGACCGTGTCACTGAGGCCTGTGCACCGTCTTAATGCAAAGGTATCAGCAAGTAGCACATTGTTTGCACTGGAGGGTGATACACTTTATAGTACTGTACTAAGACACTGTTGCCAAAATATGTGGTGGCAAATTTTCTGCGCTCAGTATAGCCATCTATTTCGGTGGCATATGAAAGAGTACCGAAACGCAACTACAGTGTGGGGGGTAAATGAGTTACCAATCCAAGGTTCAACCAGCTGGGATTGTCTGTGCTGTCTACCGCGAAATCTATGATAGTGTGGTTCACTATTATGTTAGGACTAAGAAAAGGGTTAAGTGTAATCTTGGTTTCACCAAGTTGGGCATTTACTCATATACTTGTGTTATGCCTGCACACGAAATTACTACAGAATTTAACTACCTGAGGCATAGTGCATTTGTTATCCAATATGTTTTCTTCTCAATCGTATACTCTCTGACGCTGTTTGAGTTCCATCCTCACTGTTCATGGCACGCCTAAGAAAGCCTAAACTCTACTGTTAACGACTACCGGTTGAGACCGAGGGAGCACCAAAAGGGGTGCTGCAACCAACGAAGGAAGTCATGCGACGGCCAGCGCCTGCCCCTTTCTGTTGTTGCAGTGGTCTGTCCCCTTTCTCGATATTGCGATGGCTGAAAACATAATATCCATCTGTTTTTGTTTACGCCAATGAATGATAAAATACAATGCCGTTCAATCCGCCGAAGACCAGATATACTGCTTAACTTATTTTTTTTTGAGTTGACCCAATTGTGAAAAAACTCGCGGCGTTCGGCGGGATTTGAAC